TATATATATATATATATATATATATATATATATATATACAAACAATATATATTTTTTTGGCTATTGTTTTGAGAGTTGCTATACATTGTCACTTTCCCTAGTAGTAAAAACCATCAATACTGACTCAGGAAATAGGAAGATTACCTTTTGGCTTAAGTGCCCTTGCCAAAGTTCTAAACTGATGGTAATATTGCTTCCTTAGGAGAGTAATCATGGGGTTGATAATTTCTAGTGGCTCATAAGCTCAAAGTGCAAATTAAAAGCGATAATATTACAAAGCATAGATTCAACTTTACTGACAAAAGATTGAAAAATAGCTTAACGACCTAGCTAGCCCTAATGTCTTTTTACTTGTTAAGGCAGTTGGAAACAAACTGTTTTTGTTCTATACATCCACAAAGTAATTCAATTTTCGGAGGATAAAGGGAAATCAAAGGACCTAAATGAATGGAGCATTACATTTTTGGATGTGAAAACTACAACTATAAACTATGTAATTGAATACATTCCATATAGGCTACCCTATGGTTAGACCAGTCACCAAAAAACTTGATTATACAGGACAGTTACCCTGGAAATTGTACCACACCAAGACACATGCTGGCCACTTGTTGAATCAGCTTATAAAACACACAGATCAAAGTTCCTCAATGCTTGAAATTGAGGCGTAATAGTTGTTGTTATAGCTCAACGTTCTGAGCGGGATTAACAGCATTTCTCAGGGAGAAAAACCAACTAAACATTTGTGATAACTTGCTGGGGGCAGAATTCTTCTCTTTTTGTTCCAAGTTTATGTTGCAAAGCGCATTGTAGTCATGTTTCAAGTGAGGAGCAACAATTCTTTCCTGGAGGAATGCATTGTAACGAGTAAGAGATGGCCAATGTCACAGTAAATTGAATCCTCTAGTGAAATGTAGAAGTTGTACCTTAAATACTTCAAATGGACAAGAATCTGAGCCATTGCAACCCTATGAGCAAAGAGAAATCGAAGCATCAAAAGCTTATAACAGATGAAAAGGGGAACATTTTGAAAGAGGCAAACACATAATATCATGAAAAATTGAGAGTGTAGAGACTTTGAAACCTCCAAAGGAATGAGCTCGAGTCACTTGTGGCACAGGTTGCTAGAGCTGACAAGTGACTCCTATATCATTCCGGATTAAATGCTTTGAGAAAAAAATGCATTATATTCGGAGTGAGTCTTCTAAGATTTCTTTAGAAACTATACAAAAAGAAAACAGGAAAATATATGCAGCCATGCTGTCTTGTGGCTCTGCCACATGCTTGTTCACTGGAAATACTGGTAAGATTTGTGGTCCTTCCCTGGGATTACTTCTCAAACAAAAAAATAAGTTGCAACTTCTGACGAGTTCACAAATTTGTAAGTTTTCTATTGACGAAATCTCATTTAAATTGTAAGACTGGACATCACAGCCAGTGAAACCTTTTTCAGGAGTTGAAAATGAACAATAAAGGGAAAAACTTGAAGGCTGGCTGATGTAGATCCCAAAACAAAGACCATGGATGTTCATGTTCACAAGAATGTGATCAGAAAACTTACTGGAACTGGAGTCGGACGTTCATTGTGCAGCACTTTCACAAAGTACTTGCTTGAGTTGTTTGACACGCAGCTGTAAAGGACTAGCATGTTATTTCCAGCAAAAGGTGTCACTATACTTCCCCGCCAGTTTCTCTTTGTAGGAGGCTTAGGAGGGAATTGCAACGTCTCCTCTCTTTGTATTAGTTCAAATTCTGCAACATTCAGTGCATCAAATTGATTAAGAAACCGGAGGCACAAGAAGCCTAAAACAATCCTATCGATAAACACTCACCAGATTCTTCAAGAAAGAGCCCAAGCAAGCATGAAAAAGGAAGTAGAGTTTCTGCATGAGCAAAACGTAGTCTTGCCTTTTCATAGCTCCCGGAAGCATATCCTTCTAAAGGAAGAGAATGCACATAAAACGAAGAACACCAGATATCAAACTTCCATCATTTAAAGGATTAGCTTCCATAAAGATATGTATAGGCAAAAAGATTTCTAGAGAGATGAATGCGGGCAATAAAGGAAGGTACTAGTTACTAACAAATAACAATACTAAGTAATTGGTATAATTAAACAATATAGTAATTTGGTTTAATAAAGGCTCCAGTTTCTAGCCTTATCCAACTATCCTCTAGTCAGTAGTTGAAGGGATAGCTCAATAACCCAGGCAATAGAGTCATGGAATAAGAACAGAATTGGTAAAGTTAACAGGTTATATGGGAAATATAACATATAATGAAGTTGACTTGGCCTTTCTTTAATAAGGAGAGAAATCCTTGGCCTCCTTTTAATTAGGAGAGATATAATCTCCCATCCTATATCTAGCGACTCTTGTAGATTGAGCACACAAGTTTTAGGGGGTTGGCTTCACTTTTTTCCTAATTATCTCTTCCTCTAAAATCTTGTTGCATGGGGAAGGTAAGAGAAATAAGCGGTCAATACCCTAAGGGGTCGTTTGGTACAATGGTAGGATTTCCCATGGGATTAGTTATCCCACCTTCTATATGGGATAACTAATCCCACCATTTTAGTATAAGAGTTATTCCGGGATTAGCTAATACCCCAAACCAAATATGGGATAAAGTTAATCCTAAACTTTATCCCGAGATTATTATTCTTATCTCATGTACCAAATGACCCCTAAAGCAAAGATCATCCAACCCAACCCTCCCCCCGGAAAAAGACAAGAAGATAATACTAATTCAATTACGTTACCTTCTTTAGCCTTGATTGCCTGTTCCATGGATTGAATTACATCCTCAAGTAGCGGGACTCCCATTCGGTAATTTAGTGAATTACCATAGCCCTTCAGTATGAACGACTCCAAATCATC